GTGAGTGAGTGAGTTAATGAGTGAGTTAATGAGTGAGTTAACGAGTGAGTTAACGAGTGAGCGTAGCGTCATGGCTGACACTTCTAAAGTCTGTCATTGGTCAATCATTCCTGTGTCGTAGTGACAGTGGACACTGAGTACACCTCCACCTCCTACATCTGCCGCCCGCTCATCCCCCCCTTGCCCCCCCACTGCGTGCATTCTCAGTGGGCAGTTAGGTTATCAAAGTGATGGGTGGAGGACCAGAAATGTCCTCATCCTATCGGGACACAGGCAGATGTGGGACACGATCATCCATGTTGTCTTCATTTGAAACATCTGCACATTTTTCTTTTCATTTTCTTCGTTCACACTCGAGTCAAAACAAACTACTACTAACATTGGAACCAAAGTCGGTGTTTAGGAAGTTGACCAGAATCTCTACAACAGTTTTTGGACCAATTCTATTTTTGGACGTATTGTTTGGGCGCCAGGTCCAGAGGAATTGTGGGGGATATTTGTGTCATGTGGCCAAGACCTCATGACAGTGACTTCTTCAAATGTCATGTGAGGTTTAGTATCAGAAAAGAAATTCACATTTAGAAATTTAAAATATTTTTATTTACAAACTCTAAGTAGAAATTATTTTTCCACGGCCAAACATTGTTTTTTTACTTATGAATCAAGTATTCATTGTAGACTACTATAGGTCAAAAGGTCAATTCAATACTATGTTCAAACCATGAAGTACATCATTTTACACTGAACCTCGACACTTCCACAAACCACTGATGGACTGCTGTGGAGGTTTTAGTGACATCAACTGGTGAAAAATTGTATCGCATTTAAAGCCTGCAGCAGACAGAACTAAGAATGTCCTCCAGTAGTTCAGTCTAGAATCAGACAAAGACAAACTGGGACCAACATGTGGTTTGTCCAAACGGGACATTTCTCCGTTTCTTTTGTGTTGTGATTCATTTGTCCACTGGGGACAGTCTTCTCGTCCTGGTGTCTAACCACCTCCTGCACCAGTTTGGGTTTTACTGTATTAATAAGGTCATTGAACAGGATCAGACTGGACTGTGATGTTGCCACGAAAATAAAGACTCCTGTTTTTTAAGCCGTCTGCAGTTTGTGTTTTGTGATGATTGTCAAGAAGGAACATAAAGGACAGATGGACATCTATAGCTCAGAAGGAACATAAAGGACAGATGGACATGTTATAGCTCTGTGGATCAAGCTGACTTAGTGTCTCAAATGTTTATGTCCCTGGTGAAAGTTTAAGTTCATAGAACCTGAGACGCCCACATTATAGAATCATAATTAAGTACAGTTTCTAGTTTTTACAGTAAAAGGCCTTGTTCCAAATAGTGACACATGAGCGAATAAATGCTTGGTTAAACAGATGTAAGAAGTTGAACACTCCACTTGTGTTTGTTGTCAGAGTTCTTTCTTAAATGTTATTGTTTTTAATAATTAAAAAAGAAAAAGTTGGATCAAAATCCGGAAACTCCTTTCACGTTCCTGTATTACAGCCTCGTGTTCTTTCTTTCATCCCCTATATTTACTTACGTAATCAAAGTCTAAAACTGCTTTCATCTTATTGGCTAATTTGTCGGTCTGTAAAGCCAAACATCGAATTACAACACAGGTTTTCGCCCGCGCGTCCCGAATCCATCCAATAAGCACATGCTGACGTATCGTACGTATAAAAGTACCGAGTGACGTATTAAGGACTTTAGTCACAGGCGCCATCTTGTCACCGAGGCGGAGAGAACGAGGACGTGAAACGACAACGCGCCCTAGAAAATAACAGAAAACAACTAAAACGACACCAAAAGCTCCAGTTAGGTGGAGCTTTTCGATCGGAGTCGAAACCGGATGAGTTCAAAGACTGTTTGCTGGTCGGCGGTTGTGCTACCGGGGAGACCGCTGTAGTTTACAGCCGGGGGTTTTGGGCTCAAAGATGGAGGAGAGCGCAGCGAGGAAGGAGGCCTGCCGGGAGTATCAGTCCTCCTTGGAAGACCTGACGTTCAACAGCAAACCGCACATCAACATGCTCACCATCCTGGCCGAGGAGAACCTGACCTTCGCCAAGGATATCGTGGCAATTATTGAAGCACAAATAAGCAAGGTTTTTATGACAATAGATTCAATTTCAGATGTTAATGTCTATGTATGTATTTGTGTAGGCCCAGGGCGAGGATGTGCTAACATGGCGGCTAACGTTATCACTACGTGTTCTGGTCAGCGGCCTCTCGGGGCTTCACATTTCGTTAGGTAGTTGTAGTTATTAGCCATGTTGTTTATAGTTTAGTTAAATATTAACTTAAAAACAACGTACACATTACAGCGTGATAGTTGCGATTAAAGCCACCGTAAAGTTAAAACTGAGAGCGTGACGTGTATTCAACCAGCGTGTGATTACATCAGTGGTTTGGTCCAAAAAGTTGGAATACCTTTGGTTTTCAATCTAGTGATAACTTTAAGGAACCTTTCTAAACTTGACTTTTATGCGAACACCAACTGTACAGCCACGTTTTCTACCAGAGTTCAGAATAATCATCCATGGAGGGATAAAATATATATTTTACGCTTTATACGCTTTGTCAGTTTCTGACTCGCGGAAGTCTGACGGACTTGTTTGTTAGAAACAAGGAGTAAACTGATGTTGACCACAAGAATTTGAGGATCTGTTTTTATTTATACGCAATATAGTTGTGGCTGTTCTCAGTCATGTCATGTGAGTCGTCCACGTAACGGTCATATTGTTCGGGCCCATGACTACTTTACTCGACACCACAACTCCCGCCTACTTTAAAAGTGCCTTTGGGATTTACACGTAATGTTTCATTTGAACCACCGGAACTGTTTGTCCCTTGTAGGCCGCTGTGTGGTCGTGGGGACGGTTGTACCTAATTGGATAAAAGCGTGACATCAATTGTTAAAACTAATCTTATGATAATTGAAATTTGCCAAAACCCATTCAGTGGGACGTGGAGGTGTCAGGGTAGTTGTTCCTTTTCCTCCTCGTTTCCATGGCGTCTGAATACATTTTAGACGTAACTCGGGGATCCGTCCACGTCGATGGACTTTGGGCACAGTTAACTTTTGACTATCCAAATACTGGTAAATGGACAACGGGGCTTGTTTTGTTTCTGGCGTGTTTAGACCCGACGGTCCTACCTGTGTGCAGTCACTTAGAGCAGAACAGTGTGTTTTGATGAATGATCTATGAGAGTAAGGATCTGGCAGGAACAGACAGGGCTCTCTCTCTCTCTCTCTCTCGCTCGCTCGCTCACTCTGTAGAAATGATTTTGACTCAGTTCACTCCTGACAGCACTGTTTTTAATCCTGCAGTCACCAACGTCTGTCCACTCTGACCTCTTCGTTATTAAAAATCTTCTCTCTGCTTTTTAAAAAAATCACCAGTTTATCCTGAAGTACTGAAATGTTATTGAATGGTTAATATGTAACATAATAAAACATGTGAAATGTGCTTTTTGTCATTTTTTATTTCCGCTGTAATCTATTGGTCTGACTCTGGTTTAACATTAGGTGAGACTGGTCTTAACAGATGGTGTGATTCCGATGGTGCTCAGTTCAGCCACAGACTCCAGTGTTTTCCAAGTTAAAAACCAGACTACACAACACTTTGTCAGAGTGTGAAGAAAAACATTGTTGGTAAAAATCTTAAAAAAAAAAAAAAGAATCTTCGGGGGTGGAACTGAAGAGCCATGGCTGGGGTAATGTACGAAGAGAGGTTTATTAAAAACCTCTCTTTGGAGGTAACCAAATAACTCTAAAATTGACTTTGGCCAAGACGCTGTGTTGGATATCCATAGACCCAAGTTTACAAGACCAAGTTTTTTTTCTCAACTACCTTTTTTGGTTTTGGATTATACACGGCCCATGCAACGATGGAGTTTCTTTTTTCTTTTAAATCCTGACTGAAGAAAATCAAATGCGGACTGTGTTTTTTTTTTTAACAGGAGAACATCATTAATATTTTCAAAAATTTTCACATTAACTTGAGATTTTCCAATTGTTGGTGGTGGTGATGGGGTTAACAGTGGGCTGTCAGCTTGTCATTTTATTCTGAAATGTTTTTTAACCCTTGTTGTTTTCTAAACTTGTTGAGTTCTCTATCGCTCCAGGCCCCACCTCAAGAGAAGCTTCCAGTTTTGTACTTAGTGGATTCCATAGTGAAGAATGTTGGAGGAGAGTACCTTGCTGTGTTTGCTAAAAACCTAATCACTTCATTTATTTGTGTCTTTGAAAAGGTACAGTTCTCTTTGCTGCTGCTTTACATTTATTTCAATTCACTGACATGTAGTCGTCCAGTTGATTCTTTGTTTTTATCATGTCCTGTAAATAAAAGTATGCAGAAATTTAATCTCATCTTGTAGTAAAAATGTAAAACCATTCTGTTAAAAGTCAAGAAAAGATGTGTTGGATTCTGTTGGAGCCGTGGACCAAGCCCTGTCCTGTGTTTGTAGGTGGATGAAAACACCAGAAAGAGTTTGTTCAAGTTACGCTCCACGTGGGATGAAGTTTTCCCACTGAAGAAGTTGTACGCGCTGGACGTCAAGGTCAACTCTGTGGACCCGGCCTGGCCAATCAAGCCGCTGCCGCCGACCGTCAACGCCAGCATCCACGTCAACCCAAAGTTTTTAAAGCAGGTGTGTATGACGTGTCAGTTTTGTATTTAAATGTTTACACTCAATCGTGTTTATTTGACATTTTTGCTTTGGAATATTTAAATTTAAGATACCTGTTTCCATAATATTTGTCTCTCGCTGCGATTCTGGAACTTACTGGTGCAAATGCTAAGAGAAAATGTTTCACAAAAGTAAAGTCTCAAGTACTTTTTTATTCCTGCTAAAGTGGTGTTCTCACTAAACAAAGGAAGTCAAATAAGTAGGATGTATTATGAAGAAAATGATGGAACTTAAATCAACGTTCCTAGCTGAACCCCCACCTGTAATGGCACTGCAACACCTGAGCCCCCCAGTCTTAGGCTGCTGGAGTCTGTCTTCAGTCCATTCTCTGCCTCTAAACTGATCAGAAGCAATAGACTCGTGGTTCAGAGAACATTCTTGGGGCTCCCTCAGTTCTACAGAACCGATTTATCCTCCAGAACTGATGTGACTCTTCTTCATGGCTCGTTCTTTCTCTAGTCTGAGGAAGCTCCGTCTCCCCAGCCAGCTCCCTCCCAGCCTCCTGCCGTGGTAACACCCCCACCCGTTGCCCAGCCGGTCCCTGCTGTGAGTCAGTCCAGCCTGACCCAGGAGCAGCAGATCCGACAGCAGCTTCTGGCCAAACAGAAACAGCTCCTGGAGCTCCAACAGAAGAAGATTGAACTGGAGCTGGAGCAGACCAAAGCACAGCTGGTGAGTCCACGTCAACATACTGACCCGCGCTCTCATGGTGCTGGTGTTGATGGATCAGAGACATTTCAGTAGGGGTGTGTAGTGGTAAGATTATGGAGATTCAGTCCACATCAGGACACAGGACACTGATACGATGAACTGTGATACTACAGATATGACGATATATTGACTTTTTCTTGAAACAATTTAATATTTATTTTGATATGATACTGTGAACCATGTCTTGTGAGATTTTAGTGAATCTCTATTTTCCTACAGCCCTAAATGTCCAGCTGTCAAGGATTTTATAAATTCCTCAGACTCTGTGTTTCATGAAATAATTTTTTTGAAAACAGTTTTTAAAAACTTTCAAAAACTAAACGTTACAGTAGAACACACTTTGACTTTTATTCATTAGACTGTGGTCAGGAGTCACGGTCCACTGACTGTACCAAACCAAATCCCAACAATGACAATCACAACAACAATAACACCGATGACAACAAGAACGGCCCGGCTCCTGCAGTTCCTCCACCAGAACGTCCTCTTTACTCTAGAACCTTGTGTCACAAACTGAGACGCCTTAGAACGTAGAGCTTCTGCTCTGTCCACCAGCTCTGACAGCTTGGTGTCGCGCTCCAGCATTTTGTCCACATTGGTGGTCATGATGCCCATCACCTCCTTCACCTGGACCTGCAGCTGGTGATGGTTCCTGCTCTCTGAGCCCAGGGCTGACATGGTGAAGTTAGGTTCCTGTGGGGGACGGGGGGCAGGGGCTGTGGCGGCGGTGTCCGAAGGACCGACGTAAGCACAACAGAGGGAGAGAAGTGACGTGACGCTGCTGTCGTCTGACTGCTGGTACCCGACGGCGTAGCGGCTGGGGGGGGGGGGGGGGGGGGGACGGGGAGGTCAGGGGTCAGCAGCTGGTTGTGGGTGAAGACTGAAAAGACTAAGGGTCCACTTTAGGTTTTTGGTGTAAACTGTGGCAGCTCAGATCTGTGAGCCCACATCGCTGCCCTCTGCTCTGAGACTGGGTTCTCCGTGATGTTTGGATCAAAGATGGTTCCTCCTTTGAATAGTTGCGTGATGTCATGATTTAATCATTGTACACATCTTTATTATGACGATATCAGAACCCACTGCTGAAGAAATGATCAGAATTGCAGTGATTTAATTAAAATGTAAAGTCAGTCAGAAATTGTGCTGCCTGTCTTTGTGTGTCATGTAGTGAACCGACTGGACGTAATCAGTCACTCAGTGCTGCTGGGCTTCCTTTCATTCTTGACTCTTGAGAGACAACCTGGAACTAAAAATGTTGAGACTTGTCAGATTATTTCCCCTGAGCTCTGCTTTTATTCAGAGCAGGTGGATGTTGTCAGATGGATGAAGGTGTAGCTGTAGAACCTGGTTCCACAGACACCAACAGTGTTCTCCAGAGGAACTCTGTCCACTTCCTGGCTTTTTTTTTCTGTTCTTCTTCTGTTGTTGTTTCATATGTTGACAGTTAACCAGGTCAACCAGACCAGTTTGAATAGAAAAAAGTCAGTTATTGAAGAGAACAATATCAGCTGATGAGGTTCACAGACCATGTCAGTTGGTGATGGGATTTGACCCAGTTCTGACAGATCAGTGTTTGATTAATCACCATGTTACCACCTGCTTAAACACATCTTGTGTTTGTTTGTGTGTGTGTGTGTTGCAGGCCGGTGGGTTTGTTTTACCAACGGTCGCTCCAACCTCTGGTCCAGTTGCACCGACCACCACCATAAAGCCCACCGTCAGTCAGCCTGCCCCTGTGGTCCGGCCCTGGATCCCTCCGCAGAATCAACCTG